AGGAAGGAAGGAAGGAAGGAAGGAAGGAAGGAAGGAAGGAAGGAAGGAAGGAAGGAAGAATGCATGGGCGGAAGTCATGTTAACTTGGTAAATTGAAATTCTTTGTCATTGTGTTTGTGACGGTTGGTGAATAATCATTAAATAATATTTAGAGCCTTTGAAGAATAGCTTTAGGAAGGTCATCTGATTATTTTCTGAGAAAAAGAAGCACTTACTGCAATGAGTCCGTGCTGACTTACACTTTAGCAAAAATGGCAACCTTCAAATTCCCACCTCATCACCAAATAAATGTAATAACCTCTTAAAGTTTTCAAAGGTTAATCATTAATTTCGAAAGATTTACAATTAAGCGTAAAATGGCACAAAAACATTTAAAACCACGTAGGAGATGTGATATCATCTTGTTTTCCAGATTTTATTCCCACAGGTTTAGATTCTCTGTGTTGACAGCATAAGGCTGACAGATAATTGAAGCTAAAATATACTGTATTATCTTTAAATGCTGCTAAAGGCTTAAAACTAAGGAGTTTTACCTTTCAGCAGGAGGACAGCTCTTGCAATCAGAGCTATAACAGAATGGTTTAGATGGCCCAGACAAAGTCAGTGAGCTCAAGCTATTGTTTATATTACAATTGTCGTCCTTTTTTCCTTAGGATCTCATAAAAATAATAACCTGCACTGAAGTTTGAGGTTGCAGTGTGTGTTCTCTATTTCCATAAGTTCCCATCCGAACAATCAGTGGTGATGCTCTCCACGCTGTTTTGGATGTGGAGGGGATGGAGGAGGAGAGGGAGGTGGAAGAGGGAGGAGAGGAGTGGGAGAGAAGGAGGGGGGGTTGTCTTGTGCGTCAGTAAGTCAAGCATGTTCCAATAACGGGCTGTATTATCTGCTGCTATTTGCAGTTTGCCGTAGCCAGGCACCAGACTGAGCTCGAGTAAAAAAGCTGCACAGGCTGCTCTTTACTTTTCCTCTGTGATGGAAACGCTCTCAAATGGACTGAAATCTGGATGGCAAAAGGTAAGCAGAAAGTATGTGTTTGGTTAGTTTTTAGCTCAGCTCTAAAATTTTAGTGTCAAGTTAAGGCATCTTGTTCTGACTTCAGTTCTTCCACACCTAGCCTATGTGCATCTTTTTCCCCCCAGGAGGAGTCTAACTCTTGTCTGCGGCTTTGCTCTCTCCATGCAAAACACAAGAGATTCATGTGAGCCTTCACTACAAGAGGGCAGAGGATGGAGGCAGGTTTAAAGAACAGCACATGCACAATGAAAAGATTTTGTGTGAGGTTGTTTGGAGTCATTCTGTTGCTTGCAACTGATCTGAGCTGGCTGAGCTTGAGAGAGCAGGCTGTGGCCAGTGCCCAGAATAATGAGAGAAGGGTGCTGGCGCATCTCCCAGGGGACATTATCATTGGAGCTCTGTTCTCTGTCCACCACCAACCACCTGCAGACAAGGTACCTGCTGTGTGAGTTTATGTCCTTGTGTATCCTGTGTCTGTGAGATGAAGGTTAACAATCCACTTGTTGGTGCACTTTCTTTAGGTGCATGAGCGAAAGTGCGGTGCAGTGCGTGAGCAGTATGGGATCCAGAGAGTGGAGGCCATGATGCACACTCTGGACAGGATTAATGCAGACCCCAATATCCTTCCCAATATTTCTTTGGGCTGTGAGATAAGGTCAGCAACAGGAGCAGTACCTCCATTTATTTTTAGCAAGTCAATAATTAACCTACTCGGAATAATCTGTTAGAAAAAAAGACTCAGTTACAACTTGTAACAAAACAAAAACAAAAACAAAAAAAAAAATCGCAAATAAGTTAGGATGAAGCTGATGGCTTAAGTTAGCAATAACCAAAGATAATGTAATATATGAGTGTTTGCACTACACTTTTGCCATTTAAATGTCATTTAGACAACTTTGCAATTTAAAACAACCAGCAGTTTTGAGAAATAGATAAAATCTTTATTCAAGAGTTGTTAAATGCTTCAGGTAATCAGCTATAGCAGTTCAACTAAAAAAATCAAAACAAATTTACTGTTAACAATTAAATATTTTAAATTAATTCATTTTACTTCAGTTTCTAGTGTTTCTAATCACTCAACTTTTTTTCCAGCTTTCTCAATCTGCACCCCGGTACATGGAAATTAACCATTAAATATACATACAATAATACCTCTGCAAGAGATAACTCCACCCTTTATCATTAAAGACAAGTTTGAGAAATGCAGCCTTGTGAGTAACTTTAGTAAGGATGAAAAAATTATAGGATAAGTTTTGTATTTTTCAATTTTTCAAAATTTTTTTTTTCCAAAATAATTGGTGCCACATTACCTGGTATCCCTAACAATTTCTAAATATGTTTAATTCAGTGTGTTTTGTTCTTTTTCAATTAGATTGTTTCTCTGAGTTACAACAATGATGGGAATCATTTCTCCTAACCGCTTCAAAATGGTAAAGATAAGAAAACATGCTACTTAAATTCGTTTCATATTTTAAGTCATTATGTTTTGACCATAATGACTTAAAATAGCTTCATAAAAATAATTTCTTGACTAAACTCACTCACATTTACAGGTAGAAAAATATGTACCATTTTTACAGCTTTAAATAATTAAAGCTGTGACAAACAAACCTGGGTGAAGATTCATGTTTATTTAGCCACAATGCACAGCGAAGAATATGGTAAAGAAGGTAAAAATATCTCCAAGGCTCAGTGTTAGAAAACTGCAGCAAAGAGTAACTTAGGGTCACCAAGTTTCCATAACAACCATGTATTTTAGGGCTTTTAATATATCTTTGCAAGGAGTGGTGATAAATGTGAAAGGAGCTATAAAAGATAACAGAACGAAATAAACAAAAATACCAATCAATTTAAAAGTGAATTATCTAAAGATAAGAGTAAAACAATTTTAGGTGGGAGGGGAGCAGGAATAATCTTTCAAGGAGACTTCTGGGAATTGGATGCAAACTAATGATCTCTTGTTAGAAGAAAAAAGGCACAAAAAAGGACAGAAGGCTGGTTGAGAAGGAATCCACTTTTAATTAACAGAATAAAACAAACAATTCTCCTTCAAATTTTTAAGGATCAAAAAAGGTAATCCAAGTAAACCAGTTGCCTTCTTTCCACTTGTAAAGTACCTTAAACCAGTGATTCAGGAATATTTTTGGAATTATTATTGAGAGTTTCAACTACATCCAAAATAGCCACAGTAGCCTGTTCTTGTTGCTATTATCAGCAAGCTTGTTACTGAGCACAAAATGTAGAATATCTAGTTTTTCAGCTTGAAACAGAAGCATGATTAAGAGACTATGTTGCTGAGGTTCTTTTTTTTGTTTGTTTTTCAGATCACTGTTTTAAGTTTGAAGTGAAAAAGTAGTACCACTAGCTGTTCTTGACACTTTATTATCTGCTTTGAGTTCTTTGGAATATTCTGGAAAGAATATTCCAAAGAATTGGGTAGCTTATAGCTTATAGAAGCTGTAAACAGTAGCTTATGTTTATATATTTTCCTGATAAGCAAATCTTTTTGACTTTAGCTTATGAATTCTATATTAAACGTGCATGTCTTTTTGTTCATTACTACTACGTTTTATTCACAACTCTTATAACACAATTTGAAAACCATGATCTTGAAGTAAATCCAGATTTAGTAGCTGGAGAAACCCTGTGTAAAATGATATACTTCATATACAGTCATTTTGCTACAGTTAGTAGTTTTGTTTCCAAAATATCAATGAGCATTACAAGAAAGGAACACAATATTTCTGCTTCACAATGATGAGAAGTGACTGAGGTCAGCCTCAAACATACTTTATTGAATTAGGACAAATCTCCCAGTCAAAGCTTAACAAAATTTGAGCTTAAAATAACTTAATTTAAACGCCAAGTTTACTGACTAATTCAGACTTTTGAAACCCTCTTATCGGCTTTGTTTCACTCGGGAAGCCCTATCAGATCCTCTCTCCCTCTAATCTTTTTGCCAAAATATTGTGATGGTGAGCTCAATGTTTTTTCACCAGGGACTCGTGCTGGCACTCAGCGGTGGCTCTGGAGCAGAGCATTGAGTTTATCCGGGACACACTAGTGTCCAGCGACGAGGAGGAGAGCCAGGCCAGATGCACAGTAGAAGGAGGGAGCGTACTCCTGCAGGGAAAGAAGCCCATCGTGGGACTCATCGGACCAGGATCCAGCTCCGTGGCTATCCAGGTGCAGAATCTCCTGCAGCTCTTCAATATCCCACAGATTGCATACTCAGCCACCAGCATGGATCTCAGCGACAAGGTAAAGTTGGAAAACAAACCGGAAATGTTCAAAGTTCCTGGTGAAATTGTATAACCTCGAGGCCAGATGCTCTGTATGTACAAATTAGTGTACAGACCATTCTTTGAAAACACACACAAGTATGTCATCAGACTTGTGAACATGTAAATCTCTCCCAACAGAGTCTGTATAAATACTTTATGAGAGTGGTGCCATCAGATATGCAACAAGCCAGAGCCATGGTGGACATTGTCAAGAGGTACAGCTGGAGCTATGTGTCTGCAATACACACAGAGGGTAAGACTGTATGCCTGTGAACAAACATTCATGTTTTTCTATAGATAGATATAGCATCTTAATAGCATTGAAAGCAAATTAATTCCAGTAAATTAACCCAACTAGTGAAACATGTGTCCAGTTACATTAAATAAATCAGAAATATTGTCCGTTGATTTGAGTCACTACACACAGAGTGATGTTTTTCTGTAAGAACACAAAATGTTGCTCAATTTTATATGAGATCATAACAAAATGGAGCTCTTTTTGAATCACTTACTTCATTGACGCAGTATGACATGGAGGAGATCAACTAGCTCTGCTTAGGTGTTCAGAAAGCTAAGGTGGCTTTAATAGAGGCCTTTAGCTGGTCTGCATTGTTGGCTTTGCTTTCGCTCATCTTCCTCAGGACAAAAACCCACAAATTAAAGGTTTAAGTCAGAAGAGTTTGCTGCTCATCCAGAGAAATAATACCAAGAACAACGAAGAAGTTACTGGCCTTTTTGACACTGTTAACAGGTGTAGTCAAACACATGCTCATAGCATTTAATTTTTGTATAAAATTAAATGTTTTATGAATCTTCTTATATTTTAATAGTCTTTTCATTATTATTATTTTTTTTAGAAACTGCATTCTTGGTTTTTATCACCTGGGAGCATCTTTGTAAATAGAACTGGCAAATGACAAAGTTTTCAGAATATTCTACCGTACTAAGACGCATTTTCATTTTACTAGCTCCATCACTGCAACACAAAAAAACAATAGATTGGGACCAGTTTTATTTAATCTTTATATAAATGATATCAGTAAAGTGTCCAATGTATTAAAACTTATCTTATTCGCTGATGACAC